CACCATCCATTTTCAAGATTTTCATATGTTTATAAATCTACTTGATTTTATCCATTTTTGAAATTTAAAATTTTATAATTAGATATAAAAATAGATTTTGAGATAATCCTAAGAACATTTTACATCAAAATTATACACCATGATAGAATTTGAAAGTGCACCTTACCTCTACAGCTACGGATGCATTTGTATGCCAATTGCACCCTAAATATATATATTGTAGCATTATTTTACTTTGTTTCTTGTGAAAGGGTGGGGTGGGGATATTATATGGTGTGATTTTCCTTTTTTTTTTTTTTTGTTATGTTTTGTTTGTTTGTCTTGTACCTTTTTTTAAATTTTTTTAATTTTTTGTGACAAAACCTAACTTAGAAGGCATTGGAGCTTTCTGTTAGCTGCAAATGCAAATTGTTTGGTGAAGGGTGAGCTTCAATTTATTCTTTTATATATATATATATATATATATATATAAAAAGAGAGGGAGGTGGAAGAGTAGTATTTGATGGGCCTTTGAGAAGGAAGGCCAAATTAGAAGATTCATTAGGGGCACATTTGTGGAGAGAGGAGGGCATTGGTTCAAAGGAGGGAGGATGGAAAAGAAGAGCAAATTAATGTGTTTGATATGCTTGGGATTTATCTCCATTTTCTTGTGTTCCTCAAAGAGCTTCAATATTTGAGTGGCCCTTTCTTTGCCCATCTCTTCAAGCTGCATTTGTGCTTTGTAGCAGCAGTAGTAAACTGGTAAATAAACTTAGGGCAAAATCAATAAATCAGTACAACCTAGGGCAAAATCAATAAATCAGTAGTAAACTTGAATGCGACCTCATATTCCTTACTGAAAATGGTCCGATGATTTATGGCACTATTTCAGGAACTCAAGCTTCAGAGTTTTAGGGTTTCAGAAGATCGGTTTGTTTGTTGCAGCAGCAGCAGTGTCAGTCTGGTTGGGCGACTTTGTAGCTTGAGTAGTTTCTTCAATGGCGGATTCTTTCGCTCACAGGCCCCTGCTCTGAATTAATTTGTCTTCTATGGGTCATAAGAAGCGGAGCCAGACCAAGCCTTCTCCTATTCAGGGCTATGGCCTTGATGAGGAGGAGGGCCCTGCCATGGCCATCGTTGAACCTGAAGCCAAAGTCAAGGCCAGGAAAGCAGAAAAACCGAATGGAATGGGATCCGAGGTATCCATTACAAGCCCCAATTCTTCAGTCAAAGCTGACTGTGAGAGAGCCCTAATGGCTCTGAGGCGAGGGAACCACACCAAAGCCCTCCGCCTGATGAGGGATTCATGCTCAAAAAATCCTGATTCTGCCCTCTTGCATCGTGTTCAGGGCACTATTTTTGTGAAGATTGCGTCACTGATTGAGGACCCAAACAGCAAGCAGAAGAACCTCAAGAATGCCCTTGAATCAGCCAAAAAGGCAGTGATTCTCTCCCCGGGATCAATTGAATTTGCCCATTTCTACGCGAACCTATTGTATGAGGCCTCGAGCGATACCAAGGACTTTGAAGAAGTGGTTCAAGAATGTGAAAGGGCACTCTCGATTGAAAACCCAATTGACCCAGGTAAGGAGAACCTGCAAGAGGAGAGCCAGCAGAAGCTATCCACTCCAGGGGCTCGGATCGCCCACGTTCAGCAGGAGCTGAGATCGCTAGTTCAGAAAGCAAACATAGCCTCTATATCAGCGTGGATGAAGAACTTGGGCAATGGATCAGGGGAGGAGAAATTCAGATTAATACCCATGAGAAGGCTCTCTGAAGATCCAATGGAGGTGAGGGTCTCACCCAGCAGGCGCCCAAATGAAATAAAGAAAATCACAAAGACCGAAGAAGACAGGCGCAAGGAGATTGAGGTTCGGATCGCTGCTGCTCGACTTTTGCAGCAGACACCCCTTTCGTCTTCCTTGCAAGAAAAGGGTGGGGAGAGCTTAAGCAGTTCTGACAATCATCATCCACGAAGAAGGCCTGGAAGTAACAGAAAGAGCTCGAATGCTGTGGGTTTAGATAGAATGGACCAGTTCAGAGTGTACTGGGGCACCATGGGTCCTGATAGAATAAGGAGAGAGTTTTTGATGGTGGATATTGGGGATTTGAGGGATTATTGCTCTGCTTCCTCCTCATCCAGGGATGGTTTGTCTATGGATCTCTTATCAGAGTCGTTTTCCTTTTTTCAAGCAAATAAGACTTGGGTGTTTTGGGTTTGCTGCCAGTGTAATGAGAAGTTTGTCGATGCTGATGTGCATCTTCAGCATGTGGTCCGCGAGCACATGAGGAACCTATCTCCGAAATTACAGATGATTTTGCCTCAGGAAGTCGATAACATATTGGTTGAGCAGCTTTTGCATGGTTCTTGGAGGCCTGTGGATACCCATGCTGCCATAAAATTGGTTACTACGACTTCTGGTTTCAAGGACTGCTCTTTGGGTGATGGTACCATAGCAGAAGAAGACACACGGGGCTATGAGGACGAAAATGGATCTGCAATGTGTATACCTAGTAGCCCAGAGGCAGTCTGGAGGGAAGGGACCTCAAATTCAGGGGTAGTTAGCTCTGAAACTCTTGGTGAAGGCACAAATTGTGAGAGAACACTATCAGAAATTGAACACGGTAGGTGGTCTCACTCTAGTTCTAAGGAGGCACTCGCTGTTGAGAACTGGCCATTATCAGATGATGCTGAGCGTCTGAAGCTCCTTGAGAGAATCCATGGCATGTTTCAAGTTCTACTGATGTACAAGTGTCTTGCTGCAGGCCAGCTCCATAAGGTGATTCAATATACCCTCGACGAGCTTCAGGGTATTATGCCAAACGTTGCTGCAATTTGTGAGACCCCGCTCTGTATCTGTTTCTTGGATGTTGCTCAGCTTCAAAAGGTTCTGAAGTTCTTACAAGAGCTTTCACACTCTTGTGGGCTGGGCAGGAATTCTGATAAGAATAACTCATCAGAAGAGGGAGCAGATGTTGGGGAGGGGGAGAGGATTACAGAGAGAATAGAGTTTGATTCATCATGCCTTCTATTGGATGATCAGTTATTGAAAACTGATGTTGGTAAGAATGATGAGAGAGAAAGTTCTGGTGGTTCAGATGCCTTGCTATCTTGGATTTTCATGGGTCCATCTTATGGCGAGCAGCATTTGAAATGGGTACGACTCAGAGGGGAGAAGGCCCGACGAGGAATCGAATTGCTTCAGATGCTCGAGAAAGAGTTTGACCTCTTGGAGAGCCTATGCAAGAGGAAATGCGAACACCTGGACTATGAGGAGGCCCTGAATACTGTGGAATGCCTCCGTGTCGAAGAATTCAAGAGAAGGGAGGAACATGTGACGAAGTTGGGTTCTCGAACCTATGAGGCATTGCTGAGGAGGCGACAAGAAGAACTCATTGAGCGGGAAAATGATCTGCCCTGTAATAAGATAGAGCTAGATGCTATCGCCAACATTCTTAAGGAGGCCCAAGCACTGAGCATGACCCAGTTTGGATACGATGAGACACTATCGGGTGTTACTTCTCGTCTCTCTGATTTAGATTGTGCAGATGATGAGGAATGGAGGATGCAGGATTTCTTGCATCAACCTGACTCCTGTATTGAAGTAGCCATCCAAAGGCAGAAGGAACATCTCTCTTTAGAGGTTTGTTTTTGCTTGTTTGACTAGTAATCCTTATTCCAATAGGTGGTTGTGCATTTCTTAATTTTATTTTTTTGTTTTCCACTTGAGCTTATTCTATTTTGGTAAGTTTTTTGCTTAATTTTATTTCAAAGAGCACCTTTCATACTGTGGAATGTGGATCCCTCTTCTTGCTGTCATTCTTTTACTTAAGACGAATAATTTTTTATCTGTGACGATGTACTGGCAAAATCATTCTTTTCCATCTTTCTTTTATTTGTTTGTGTTACAAAATCTGAATCATTTGGTTGATACTTGAAAACCTTTTCACTGCCAAGCTCAATCAAAGGAATTCTAGGGGGTGTATTCTTTTGCTATTGTGCAGGAAATCTTATTTTGAAGGATGTTTTGCAGCTCAGTAAAATTGATGCAAAAATCATGAGGAATGTCTCTGGCATGCAACAGTTGGAGATTAAGCTTGGTCAAGTCTCCTGCCTGGATTACCGTGCAGTTATACTGCCTCTTATCAAATCATTCTTGCGGGTTTGTAAAACATTCTGCCCCTTCGTCTGTGAAATATGTCATGTGACAAGTGCATCTCAAACTCCTTCCCTGCTCAGTGAGTTAATCTTCATTCATTGACAGGCACACTTGGAGGAGCTGGTGGATAAAGATGCCACTGAAAAATCTGATGCTGCAAGAGAAGCTTTCCTTACGGAACTTGCGCGTGAGGCTAAAAAGAATACCAATAGTGGAGGTGATTTTACAAAGCAAGTACAAGATAAGTCAAAGGATAAGAAGAAGAATAAGGATTACAGAAGATCAAAAGAGTTCAAGGTTGAAGTGTCTCTCTCTCCCTCTCTTTTTTCTGTTATTGTGTTGTGAACGTATTTACTAGAGCAAGTGTAGCTGGGTTATGTCATTTACATTCTACCAACTTTGACTGCCTTCCTTCTCAGGGTCCTGCTGTTAACGAGCAACATGTCCTTCAACGTGAAACGTCAGATAAGTTGTAGGTTTCGAGGTCTCTATCTCAAATTTTGATCCAAATCAATTCTCTTCATGTCATTTCATAGTGGAAAATCAGAAGTAGATTCGGATTTTGTATTTATTCCATGAGTAGTCAACCGTTATAGATACACGTAGGGCTATGCTCATTATGCGGAGTTTATAATATTAAAAAAGATTGTCAAATTTTATAAGGAAGACTATAACACAGTAATATAGTTTTAGAACTATGATCTTTATGTCATAGTTAAGAAAGTGGCTGGGAATTCCTCTCCAATTAGTAATGGGTGGATTTCATGAATATGTACTGGACTATTTGTCAATCATTTTGCAGAATGACTCATCAGATTTGGAAGCTGAAGCATCTTTTTTTCATGACTGCTGTCTTTTCTTTTAATTTCGTTTTTCAGTTTGTACAAGTAGTTTGACAAGCCATGTACTTCACATAGCAATTGGCTGCCATCATAGAAAGCTTCTGATGGAGGCTTATCTGAGTCAAAACTTCTGATCTAGTTTTCTTAAACTGTGTTATGTATTTGCATGTGCACAATTGGCTACTATCATACAAGAGGTTTATCTGAGGCAAACTTTTGATCTAGTTTTCTTAAGCTTTGTGTGTGTGCGCGTGCGAGTGTGCATGTGTATGTGCATGTGCATGCACGTGTGTGTGTGAGTGCGTGCATGTGTGCAAGTGCGTGCGTGCATGCATGTGTGCACTTGCGTGTGCATGAGTGTCTGCGCATGTGTATGCATGTGTGTTTGTGACATATATTTCATAAGGGAGGGTAGGAGGACACAAAGTTCAGTAAATAATAGGGGGGCTCTATGTATGTGTGTGCGTGTGTACAAAGTTTGATAAAGAACAGGGGGCCAGGCTATAATGTTAGCCAAATCTCCTTCATTGATCAGATTTGAGCCTTTGTTTATGCCAAATGTCCTGATGCTTTTTGATAGTGGTAATGCTTCAGCCATTGAAGAATTACAATAGCCAGCAGGTCCCACGTATGTCAGAAGGATTTGGCCATGGTAATCCCTTTAAAATGTGCCGAAACCAGCCACTCCTCCCTTGAACCTCCATTGAGTTTCAAGTTGATCATGTCCTGCTGTTGTGCGAACCAGTGGGATGATTTAGGTCATTGGTTGTGGTGAGACCAGATGATGCATTTCCATTTCCTGTTGAGGCCCAAGACGGAGAGCACTAAAAACCCTTTTTGTATGAGTACCCATGAGATGATCTGGTTTTTGGTTTGGTTGAATAAGGTGGATTCTTGCGAAGGTCTGTGGTCTAGGGTGCAACAATTGTGCTCAACCATATGGACCAAATGACTGGCAACACTAACAGGCGCCATAATAATATGGCAGTTGCTGACAGGGGAGGTTTACTCCATTGATGGAATAGGCTGTCAACAAAAGCTGGCCATACCCAAGAATAGTCAAAGAGCTTCAAGTATTCAGACCACTAATAGGATGCCATATTGCAATTTATGAATGAATGATTTATAGGTAAATACATGGATACCGGGATTGCCAAGGGGTGGATTGTACCCCGGAATCTCGCTCCTGCACTACAGGGAAGGTAGTCTCGCTCCTTCGTGATTTTTGAACTTAGGAAGCTCGATTCTTCCTATTAGGGATCAAGATCCTGATTTACACAGGATCCCTGTTTCCTAGCATTGTTCAAGGGTTCATAGGTAAACTAATTAACAATGTGGGATCTGTATTCCCTTGAGATGGAACCTGAAATCAAAAGCAAATGTATTGAGTTATTGACACAAATTCCCTATTATTACTTCAATTTCCTGGCAAAGAAAGATGGCACTATTGGCATGGCTATGTAATGGCTATTTTGCACTAGGTGGCATGGCTATGCAAGGGCTATTTAATAACATTACCTTTTATGTATACATAAATTTGGGATTCCTCTTATCTTTCTACATTTTTATTCAACAATTAAGGATGGCCAGAATAGTTGCTACTTTACATAAAGTCATAAACTACGCTCCAAGAAATTCAAAAAATCAAAATAATACAACATGAATTGAGCTTCAAAGATCTCCAATATGTATATCAATGGAATCTGGAGGACTAGGGAAGGAACACCCTAAATAAATTTAGGTTTTCAACTGATTATATGGAAATGTACTGGCACTCATATGGACCTCTATGATGATCTCTACTGTTGTCCTAGTGATTGCTCTCGTGCTGCTACAGAGATTGCCACACGCTGCAGTTCTGCTGTAGTACCCTGATCACAAGCCTTAGGGTTTTGAGCAATAAAAAGAATCAGATTCTTGATCCAAACTCAGAATTGAGTCCACACAAAGTTTTAATTGATTTTTGCTTGCTGGATTGATTTTTGCTGCAGATTCGAACAAATTAGGGTTTTGATTCAAGTCTGGCACTACCATGTAGACTTTGAGAAACTTGAACACAGTTCTCAGTGATAAGACAAGAATTAATCCTATATACACAGATAGCTGAGCTGTACAAACAACTATCAAACTAATTAGCAAATTACACAAACTAAAATACAAGACTAATACATTGTATGAGTTGAGTTGACTCAGGCAAGTTTTCCTGAGTGGTCATATCTGGTTATTATTATTGACCAGATATAATAATTGATCTTATTTAATTAGGTTGGTATGAATTTATGTAATTGGTCTTATTAACTGTTCTGACAATTAGATTGGTACGAACTTATTTTAATTGTTTAATGCAGATTTCTAGTTAGAAAACCCTTAAAAAGGAGTATGAATTTCTAGTCTGTTGTGTGTCTGAGTCTGTTCCACTTGGGTGTCCAATCAAATCATCAGTTTTTAACATCTTTATTGCTTTCAGCAGAAATGTATGAATCCGGTTATGTTGGAAAAGCACTTTTGTTGATGACTTGATGTTTGCATGTGATACTGGAATAGTTTATTTTAATTTATAACTTAATATTTTTGTCATACAATTCAAATGGCATTTGATTTTAACACTGCTTTTTGAGCTTGAGGTTTCAACCTAGTTTATGGAATAATCATTTAGTAGTTTACTGGATATGCTTTGGGCATTGTACGTTATGTGATTGTATTTGGCAAATTTTCAAAAAATGAAGTTCCGTTTATTGTGTAAGAGTCGAATATTTCTCTTTTGATAAGTTGCAAGAGTTAATCTTTTCCTATAAAAAAGGGTTCAATACTATCTTTAACTGTTACTAGAAATGCTACTTCATTATCTGAGCTTGAGAGAAGTCTTTTATTTGTTTGATTGTTTGTTGACTGTTGACGTCTAGGATATTATTTGTATGACCTGATCTATATGTATTTGATGCAGTAATTTTGTTGATGCTGTTGCTGATGATCGGCAAGAATCTGAGGTTATTGATGCAGTCACTGCTGATGACTCGAAGCAGCAAGAAGAAGAATTTAAACGGCAAATTGAACTTGAGGCAGAGGAGAGAAAGCTGGAAGAAACATTGGAATATCAAAGGAGAATTGAAGAAGAGGCCAAACAGAAGCACCTTGCTGAGCAACATAAAAGGGTTTTTGCAAAATGCTTGGACAATGTAGCAGAGAGAGGGCTTTCTCTTAGTGTGAAGGTGGACCACAAGACAGTGGAGCCCATCAGACACTCTAAAGAGGTTAGCTTCTTTGCCAAGGGATCCCCTTTGGTTGGGAAAGAGATGAACTTTGGCCATGACCTTCCTCCTGCTATTGTTCCTTCTCCTTCTGACAATTGGGATGCTGGGCTGCATAAATCCATAAATAGTTTTGGAAGCAATGAGTTGCTGCTGAATTCGGTAGAGAAGTTCTCATTTTCTCATGATGAGAATTCTCCAGCATTGCATTCTGATCAAGAAACATTTGTGGATACGAACATCAAAGCGCGAAAAGAGTCAGCAAGCTCATGTGTGGGTCCTGCTGAGAGAACTTCAATTTCTGCTAGTTCTTCTGACAACTCTAACAATAAAAAATATCAGAGAACAAATAACTTTGGTCATACCAAGTCCAAGCCAGGTTAGATAGGCCATTATTATGTAGGAAAATGTTATATTACATAGAACATTGACTTTTTAATATTTTAATTGTAAATGAATTTCATATTTCCTGATTGTCATTGCAGAGTTTTCTTCCCAAAGTGGGAAAATGTTATATTACATAGGACATTGACTTTTTGATATTTTAATTGTAAATGAATTTCATGTTTTCTGATTTTTCATTGCAGAGTTTTCTTCCCAAAGAGATGGGGAGTTTGGTGCTTCACAGTCCGTTAGGAGGGCAAAAGGACAAGGAAACAGACAAGCCACCCGTACGAAATCACTTGGACAGAATCCTAGGCTACCATCACCTGGGATTGAAAGCCATAGAATCGAGAATATGGCAGTTGAAGGGAACACAAAAGAACGGACTCGGGTAGTGGATCCAAACCTATCATGTGGTGGTGACAGTAAGTATAATTCCCGGAATGCTTCTCAGTTTGATTCTTCTTTCTTTCATCGTAAGCCTTTTTTGTTTCCTGTTCATCTATTTATTATATTTTACATATGATCTCGTAAATTATGCTTCTGCAGGAGCAAACTGTACAAGTACTCTCTCAGGCAGAAAACCCACCTGGGAGGAGTTTTTCTATCTGAAATTTTGGGAACCACCTAAGAATCACTAGATGATTAATTTTGAAAGAAAAATTTGAATTTTGAGTAGTTAACACTTAGATCTAATTTTCAATCTTTTTTTTTGGGAAGAAAACAGTCTCTGTTCAATCTCGAGACATTATTTTTTTTTCAGGTCAGGTGCATAGAGTACAATTTTTTCATTGAGTTAGGTCTTTGGGTTGAAGAGGTTACATCCCCAAAATTTGGGGTCCTATAAATACTCCTAGATTGGGTTTTACCTGGGTAAGTAAATGGACAATACCCTCTTCTGGCAGCACAAAGCTTTTGGCTCTACATATGCATGCTTTTTTTGATTGTGTACTTGGCATGGCTTCATTCCTAATAGAGCTTAGTGTTGGTGATGTAGCTGATCAACCGTTGCCTATGGAATTTATTTTCTCTATCTTTGCACCTCTTGTACAATTCAATGGTGTCATGTATACTATATAACTAGGAGTGGGTATGGAGGGTGTTTATATGTTAGATTTTGTTCCTGTGATGCCCTTAACTGCATAAAAGAAGAGGAAAGGTAGTTGACATTTGATCCTCATTCTGAGATTGTGGGTTTTCTTTGAAAAGTTACTTCTAATATATATTTTTGGAGAAGTGAGTTCAAAGGAGCATGCATGAGTTTGTTTGTAAATATTGTTCTAAAATACTCCTAATTAAATGCATTAATACCATAAAAATATTATTCTTTTGCATGTTATATTTTTAAATTTGATAATACCCTTTACCTAATATACCTGGATTTCCTAGAGAAATGCTCCTTTTTAATGGCCATAATAGTTACAAGTTTGGCATGTTTAATATGAAATTTACATATTCCTTTTGTTTTATTTTCTTTACCGTGAACATAGCTTTTTAATATACTCACATTATTTGCATTTTTTAAAGGAAAAGAAGCAATAAGGGCATATCGAATTGAGAAAAAAGCAGTAAATTCATAACCACAAAAAATTATTAAATGTCTATTAATAAAAGAGATCAATAATTATGGAAATATATGGATCATAAATTTCTCAAAGGGAAAGAGATTTTTAGATCTACATCAATAAAAAGAGTTAGATTCAATGCTCAACATTTAATATAGGGAATGATGGGTCCAAATTTTGTCTCAAATTGTCATAGGAGACCCATCTTTCTTTTTAAAAATGTGGACAAGCAAGTAATGACCATCTCTCGTCTCTTTATATCACTTTTTCTCACTTTATTTCTATATTCATTTGCTCTCCTTACCTCATTTTTTACTGTTTTTTTGTGACCGACATGAAGGGTGTAAATAGAAGAGCTTGACTTGTATATGATTTTCACTGAAATAGTATCCTTTGTTATCATTTGTAGTGTTAGATCAAATAAAATAGTATACTACAAGGAATGACATTTATATGAGAAGACTCAAGTAAATAACTGAGATTTTACTTTCAAATCTTCTTTGAGTGAAATTAGTTGTATGTATGATATATTATTAATTTATTACTTTTGCTTCTAACTTTATTTTATAATTTTTTGATCAATCTTTTATCCTTCAGCATTTTTCTATTTTTGTTATTTATTTTACGGATGCTCCTAAACTAGCGAACTTGTAGCACAATGATCTTCCACTTCTGCTCTGGCACCTGCTTCTGCTTCCAATGACTATGAATTAAAGCCACTCCCGTTGCTAAGTTGGCCATGATACCAGTCCACTTGGGTGTTTGTCATTTTCGAGGGCTTGTTTTTTGGAGAGTAAGATGGTTTGGTTTGAAAGTGATACATACAAACTTATTGCTCATGAAGGGCATCTTCAAGATGACACGTAGCCACGTAGGTGAAATGAATGCTTTGAGGCAAAAGTAAGGGTATCAAGGCCGTCTTTCACCTGAATCGCAAGTTGGGCATGCCGGAGTAGTCCTCAATCTCCTGGCCATGCTTTGAGAAAGAAAATGTGCAAGGGGGTTTTTGTTTGACATAATGGAGAAGTTAGACCAGGCTGCATCCTCTTGAATTGGTTAGTCTGGCATGCCATAGTAGTCTTGGCCACACTGCGGAAGCAAAAAAAATCTGGTGGTTTGATTTGCAATGAACTAGAAGGTGAATGAGGTGTCGCATTCTGAGTTGGCTAATGATCTTATGGCCTTCCCCTTTACAAATTGGTTCATTTTGTCATTTTCAACGGTTAAGTGCCGAAGTAAAGGTTTGCCATGTGGCCCATCCATATCCAGAGAGGCATTGATTGGAGGATTGCTTGAAGGATTTGCAAGTCACCCTCAAGCATAATCCTCCTGATATGCAGCTGAAGGTAAGCCTCAACATCATCTAGGATTGCTTTAAGTTTTGGCATGAAGCTGGTAGCAGTCTCAGAAGGGTGGGCATTGGCAATCCCTTCCTTCTGTGAGATGATGGTCCCTTACTATAGCGCCTCCTCCTGTGAGCCCTACATTCCCCTATGATGCTCGATCCATGTTTTTTTTTTGGGGTAAATGAGTGTGGATGATGAGCCCCTACCCATTTTTTGAAATAGTCAATTTTTGAATACGTTGGTGATAATGGAGGCTAAGGCCTTCAATTGGGGCTCAGGTGGTACCACCACGTCTCGAGCCTATTTCTGATATCGGTATTAAGAATGAGGCTGGGGTTGTGGTGGTAGTACCACTTGAGCCCTAGTTGAAGGTCTTGGCCTCCATTCTCACTAATGTATTCAAAAAGTTGATTATTTCAAAAATGGGTAGGGGCTCTTCATCCACACTCACTTACCCCCGCCCCCATGAAAAAAAAAAAAGGGTTTGACCTAGCCTTGACGAGGCATATTCCACATGACTTGTAGGATTTGGTTTTGGCAGACGCTTTTAGCACATACTTGACCTAGTCATGATTCTTGCGTTGCCAAGAGAGCTTGATGGGGAATTGAGAATAGAAAAAAGGTGAGTTAAGGATGGTTGCAAAAAGTTTCCTATAGTCAATAATGGACTCGCCTATTGATCTCCTAGGGCTCGTTTGGGTCCTTGGAGAAGCCTGTCCTGGGGATAGGCTGCTACTAAAATTGGCTTCTATTTCCCAATCGATGTTAAATTATTGTTATTTTATCTATTGGAAGACTAATTTTAATGAGAGAAAGAGAAGTTTGTCATCCTAATCGATGTTTGCTTTATACTGATGATGATTTTTGTAAAGAGAGAAGTTTGTGATCCTAATCAATATATATATATATATATATATATATATATATATATAATATAC